TGATCCATCGCCGATTAGACGAGTGCTGTTTGGATGGGTCAGAACTTTTATTTGTTTTTATTATTTAATTTAGTTAGTGTTCTAGTTTATAGATTTTCTCTATAAAACGCTAGTCTAGCGAGCTCCATCGACCGTAAACTTTTATTGTAGAATTTCGCCGAATGCGAGTGTGTCGGTGAAACCATAATGGACACTATTAGCATACTAATCTCTTCTAGTTAGTGCCTAATTGAGTGCACAATCCCGCGCAGTGCATCTGAACTGCGCATAGTAAGTCCTTTTCCCTCTGCATGCCGTCGAGTTAGTTATTCGACGACAATCATCCTCATTCCTTTATCCCTACAGTCGATTATTGATCGCCAAATGTTCGATATACTCGAACCGGGGACGAGGGATTTATTTATAATAACAGCACTATTTGTAAATAGCATACTTTACATACTGTGCCAAAAGTTTCTGATGACAAGAACGACAGTTTCGTGGATGGAGTGTGCTGTCCGCTTCAATAATAGGGCGAGTAATTTCTATTTTTGAACATAATATACAGTTTATATATACCGTAATATTTTTTGAACAATTAGAATAGTGTAGGTAACAATGTGTGCAAAATTGTTGTAAAGATTTTTATTTAAGTAACACTCAGAAATTGGTAGAATTTAAATAGTGATATCAGAATTAAGATGTAAATTAGTAAAATGTAGCAAAATTTTAATAGATATTAGAATAGACAGATAATCTAGAGAGGTATGAAAAGAAAGATTAGGCTGGTTTTGTAGAGTTTATCTCTCGATGTCAATATTTGAATTAGAGGTCTTTCCGAATAGACTAGTCAATAGTAATTTAAAATTATTTCGGGCGACATTGGTCTTAATGTGTAATAGAAAAGCTTCGAGATTAGTAAACATTAAATATTGTATTAATAAGAGTTGAAATCAAATTGATGTAGGACTATGAAATGCTTCGTCTTTATGACTGTAGGTATTGTAAGCGTATTGAATAGTTTAAATTTGTGGTAATATTATATTATAATTGGTGGTGCAAACTCTTTTATAGTATGTTTAGTTTTAAGATTTTACTTATAGAATAGTTTTTTTTATAATTGTTATTTATATATCTCGTGCCTTAGATAAATTAAATATAACATAGAATTGTATTAAAATGTTAAAAATTATACAAATTGGCAATTAGTACGAGTACGTAGATGAAAGAAAAAGGTTATATAGATTAGAAAAATAAGATAATTCGAACTGTAGTTATTGATGTAGTTGTAAGCGGACATAATCCGCAAGTACATTTATAATTTGACTACATGGGTAGTACTATGGTTTATCAACATAAGACATTTTAATTGTCAGTAGAAATGTTTTAAATTTTTCTATTCAATGTCCTTCGGATATTTGTATTTTCTCAGTTTTCGTTTTGCTTTTATTAATATCGCTTTACGTGTTTCCGATTAATGTTCTCATCTATGACTGAACCACGTTGTGATTACAACGAAACAGCGAATCATAATGAAAGTTACCTACTAAAAGTACTATTTGAGTAAAACAACCGCTCCGCTCCTTCTTTGAATTACAAATGGGCAAGGCGTGTGCGTGTCGGTCGGCAAGAACTAGCATAGAAATTCGATTAATTTGCAATTGAGATAAGTCCCAGCTAAACGATCGAAAACCACCAAAAACGTATCATCTTCGCGGCGAGTTATTGATGGCACCTATTAAATATACGTTTTGGGCGGCGCGAGACGTGTGCGGTAGCAGGGATATCCAGTAAACGCCCAAATAAAACATTTCAATCGTGCCAAGTGGGAAATGAAGTATTAGGATCTCGTAGGTGAGAGATGGGAACACCCAACTTTTATATACGGGACCATTTCCCTACTGAACTTCGTTAATGGGTGCTCGTAACCTATCTCGCAGTGTATATTTTTTGCTCAAACTTCAACTTTGTACATCCATTTTTTCATTTTTATGCCCTTAAATTTTTCATAACGCGAATTTGTGTCACGGCCTAATGTCATTACTTTATATTATAATAAACTTTTAATTAAGTAACTATTAATAATTTTATAGAAGATATTGTCAAAGTTTTTGCAATATAATTTATTAATTTTGTTTAATAAACGGTTTATTTTATTATTTATTGTATATTAGGCAACAAAACTTAATTTTTGCAAGTTTCTTGATCAGTTATTTCCATGTATGTCTACGAACATTATACACTATAGGTTTTATGTAGATATATCATAATTTTGTATCAAAATAAAAGTAAAAACGATATTATCTTCTCAGAGCACAATTTTAGTGGTTCATTGTACAAAGTTGAGTTTGAACATGTTATAAAAAGTCTGACGTAATACAGTAGCCTCAAGGGCGGGTCTTACGTGAGTACGCCCCGTGAATATTTCGTCGGGGCATCATCCTACTTCTGAAGAAGAATTATTAAGTTTCCCCGAACTTCGCAATTATAAAAGTTCGAATAGCTCTAGAAAGACGGTCTCTGAATTCATAGATGAATGTGTGCTCTCCAGCAAGGTGAGACGCACTTGGGATATGAATTATTCCAATCCATTTGTTTCTGTAGATAAATACACATAGGTAATATATTGGATGGAAAAGTCCATAGAAGAAAATAAGGTCACACATAAAGTCTAATATATATCGCTAAATCTACTTCTATATAATAGGGTTATTTACGTTTACATTAATAAAGTCAATAATATATGTAAATTCAAGTTACGTACATAACTTTACGGGCACAATTTTCATTCCACTTAAGCAACTCCATTTTAACCACTTGACTGCTCAAAGCTTCAAACTTAAACTATTACACGCACAAATTACATTTGGAGCATGTGTTAACATGACGATGCAGTTTACTGTTGAAAGTTACCGTCCGATACAGATAGATATCTATGTATGACCATTGTAGATAGATACTATAGTCTAAGCTTACGCCATTCGCTTGTAAATAGTTTAAGTCGTAAATTATTTGAGGTCAGGCACACGCCTCGCATAACTTAGTTGGACCTGGTTGTGACTGTGTGTTATGAAACCGTACGTACATTATGATTGAGACGATACCTAGTTTATAACCACTTTTTACCGACTTTTTAGGTAACCATAGCGTTTCCCTTACATTATGAACGACTTTACGATCCGTAAAGATGAATAAACATGTATACATTCATAAAACTTTGTTGTGTAATAAAAGAAGTTAATGTATACGTCATAATATTGCTTTTAAAGTAGCTCGCTTCTGGCAAACGAAGCACCAGTGTTCGTGTACTGATTGAAAAATCTAAATATACGATTCGTATTACGATGACGGTATCAGTGACGTGGGCGGGTTTAAATAGCATCTTGCAATTCGATAATATTGGGTTCACATACAAACTGTAAATATCAGTTTGTATAGTTCCAGGCCTTTTCTATGTGAAATATGATTAAATTATACAGTTTAATTATCTGTATCACATCCATGCTCTCTTTGCATAGAACCAGATGACGCTGTCCACAGCTATACATATATGTGATTTATTTTAAGGCTTCATGTTATTAACATATATTGGTACAATTTCGTGTAACTGTAACTGCTATAAATCGTCTATTTTTAATAATTATAATAGATAACAATAACTAATTATAAAATCAAAAACAACTAATAATACCTTTATATTATCGATTAGTAAAAATAGACGAATTGGGAACCTTGATAATGAGGAAAGAATGAAGTTTGTCTGTTCGATACATTAACGACGGCAAGACGTCCGCGCCACCACTAAAATTCTTATTTATTACTCCGTGACCCTCAAATAAATAACCTCTTACATCGCAAAGTAATGTTATTAAATTGTGTCAGCATTTTAGTGTGGTACACAAGTAGCGTAGCGGGCGCAGGCGTGGCGGGCGGGAGCGAGAGCGGTCGCGGGCGCGGGATCGACTACCCGCCACGCCATCTATCATTCATCCTCCATTACTTATATTGTACTTTTTTTGCAAAGTCACTCGCAGGCCGGTAATCACCTGGTGCGACCTCGGACCTCCATTTTTCACACTAAATCATAACTCGCGCATCTGACAAAAATAAAATTTGTCGTACAAGCCAATAGGGGTAATGGTGACACTATGAGCAAGCATAAAAAATAGAATGTATTTTGATCTGTTTAGTGTTGAGATATAAAACTATTTAGAGTAAAGATTTCGTCTTGATAAAACCGAGTTACTTGTCGAAAAATCTTTATGGGGTTGCCGAGCACAGTTTTATGCTGAAAAGACTTTCGATCCTTATTATGTGAGAAAATTCTACGCGATATTAAAAAGCTATCAAAATATCTGCGTTCGATTTGCATCGTTGTGCGGAATGCGTAAAACGTAGTTTGGCACTGGTTGTGCGCGGACTGAGGCCACAAGCCATGAGCGGAGCGTTGCCGTGTCGGCGTCTTGGAGAATGGCGTTAAGATGCTACGACGTGAGCCGTATGCTAATGCGCCTCCCTATTCAATAAGCAGACCGCCGCGTGCCAGCGAGAACTCACGTCGGATAATTTACTGGATATTTTGTAAAAGTTTTTTCGCCCTCTGTGATTTATACCCGCGAAACTTGGAGCTCTCTTTTTCATTTGAATGCACGTGACATACGTGTTATTTTTTTGTTCCGACATAATCTGAGCCCGGGAGTCTTAAGATATCCTTATTCCTCAGCACAGCATCTGTCTCTTACGGCTAAATTATTCATGCATTTACGCGCTTCAACTTTATCCGCGCTGTAGAACTTTAATATTGAGTTGGGATTACATCGATAGTCACTTTACCGTTCAGTATGTTATATTAATGCGGAGAAGATGAGGTGTTGTAAGAAAGAAGGGAGAAAGCGGATAATAATTGTCGAATTAAAAATTAAACGATGGTTCAGTCATGGATTTGTGTGCGTGCTATCACTAACAAGTGTGTGCGTCACACGTGTATGTGGAGCGACTGCGAACCGTGTGTATGTTTGCAGTTGACCTGACCAACGGCCAACTCACACCGAACAACAACACACCGCTGCTCGCGCAGGCGCTCTCAGGTGAGGACGCCCTTCATTCTCTACTCCTGTCCAAATCCTCTAACATACTTATCATCATACATTACATGGGATGTTATGTCATACACCTCACCTACCTATTCATTATTTCAACACAACACGCATCAAGACAAGCTGCCACACTGATTTGTCGCTTTCTATGTTCCATGTTCAAACTACATTTATTAATGAAAACAAATTAGTCTATTCCCAATTTTTTCAAAGAAAACCAAATCTATATTTAAATATAACAAACAACTATCTACACATTAAAAAACAAAATATATATAATTTAACAAATATTAATTATATTATAATTATTATAAATATTACGTAAATTAAATAGACTTTTGATGACTTCGTAAATACTAATTTACAACATTGCCGGATCCACAGTGATGAACAACTACCAAGCAGCAGCAGCTGGCTTCGGACCACCTGCATCGCCCCACGCAGCTGGTGGCAGGGCCGGCTTCCCGGCGGCTAGCTCGCCTGGGCCCGCGCTCGATGTGTATGGTTCTGCAGCCGATAGTGTGGGATATGTGCAAGCGGCCAGCCCTCAGCCATCTGGCTTCCCGGCGATTGCAGTCAGCCGTGCACCCCTCAATTACACCCCAGTGAGTACACATCTTTATTGTTCCAGGTTTAACTTCAAGGTGTATAATGCACCTTTTATACTCTATAAATCTCATTGTTTCTACATATATATGTATATGCATTTTCCAACATATCAAGGTACAATTTATTTACTGTGGCTATAAAAAAAGTAGTCCATTCATGTCATGCATATATCTGCAACATTATTGAGCAAACCAGTACGGAATGATACAAGATTATAATATTGTGTATAAAATGACTATAAGATAAATTTCGTAGGTACTTTATTTTATTTCGTGATGAATGGGATAAAGTTATTAACTTTTGATTCTAACTTTTTTCATTTATTACGTCATGTTCCAAATGCCTATTTCAGTAGGACCCAAATGAAGGCAATTCTCAAAATTGTCCTTGTTCGAGAAGTTTCAACTGTCACGGAATTCAAATTAATGTTTGTTCTGTTTTGTTTTTCTTCGGTGTCTTTGATTCGAGATTTGAGATGTTGAAATATATTTTTTTCTCTCGTCTTTAACCCTAAAATTTTATAGCGACAGTCTTTCCTTTCCTAGCGCAGGCTGCAAGTAGCAACCAGATAGTTCAGCTTAAACGAATAAATTCAAAGATCTCTTCCGAGCTGGTTAAAAATTTAATTAACAGTTAGTCATAAAAGAATAAGGTATTAAGTGCAAAGGGAGTAAGCGCTGACTCGATAGCCGTCGGAAAGTGGTGCGAACACCGCAGACGCAATTAGCAGTCTACGACACTAAAATTTTAGACGAGACGGTCCAATCTCATTATGGAACCGATCTTCCTTGTCGCTCTTAAAGCGTAATCACCATAAGTTAGCAAGCGAGTGAAGCGTGAGAGATGCGATTATAAAGTGTTCCGAAATATGATCGCGGCGGCGGCGGTGGTGGCGGCGGCGGGCGGCAATCTACGCGGTGCAGTGCCGCGGGTAATGGCTTTTTAAAACTGCGACCGTGCTCCATAACTGCTTTCCTGAGACGCCATCAGTCTTCATTGCTTGTCGACGCCTCTAGAACCGCCGCCGCCGCTGAGATCTTAACTCCTCACGTCCTCGTATCTCAAGAACATTTTTCAAACCACTCTCAAAAGATTCTTTAATTTTTATAGTACCGAACCTCTCATCGCTCAATATTAGGCGCTAGCTATACTTAAATCAAGTACGTATAATAAACAAGTCATTATCTAACTGCATCGAAATAATTGTAAGAAATAATGTTTTATAGAGTCAGTGGAGCTTATAGTGAACCACTTCTGTTTTAGTCGCGTCATATATCAGATGGGATATTAACTCAATCGTCCGTAATCGCTTGGGTAAAACAAATACGTCGCTAATGAGAGAATGAACGGTCCAGCCGTCGGCCGGTCTGGCACATGTGGTTCCCGGGTGTAAAACGGTCTTATTAGGTAACGGGAATGCCCTACGGGCAATAACCGTAAATCAAGGAGAACAAGCGGTGTAATTACCGTAGCGTAGCGGTCGCGCATTGCTCTAACTCATCCACTCACTGTTTTTATTTTGTCGGCCACCGACATCGCTACCGCTCTATCGACTGCGAATACCAAACTTACTACCTTTAAATCTGCCCCTGGAGAGGTTAATGTTCCACTGAACGCTTTATACTCTCATTCAATTATGACTCGGTAACTGGATAAACTCATTCAATTTCCAATATAATTTATAACTTTTATTTGGTTCCATTGAGCTTCACTTGAGATAGGTTAACGCTACTGATAAATAATTAATCAAATTATTTCCTCATATTTCAGGGACCCCTGATTCCTGCGGCTTTTACCAACGGTTATCATTGAAAGCGTTATAGCACAAATATTTTACGTAAGTATAATTTTTAGTATACATTAGTTACCTTGTAGTATTATGATAGTCTAAATGAGAGTAAATAGGTAGGAATGTATGAACTAATATCAAGAATTCATACACAAATGTATATTGCTGATTATTGTATTATATTGTCACTGGCAGGTGGCGAGCGGTGTGGCGGCGCGTAGCGTCCCCCCGAGCGCAGCCCGGCCGCCGCAAGATCCACCCTCCTCCAGCGCCCCGCCACCCGCCCGTGGTCACGCGCAGCGCTCTCTAGCCAATGTGACAGCGCCCATCGCTGCCAGCGTAAGAGTGCGCCAGCGCATGGCGCGACAACACACCAGCGCGTGCCACAGCGGCAACGGTCGTCTTATCCGTCCGGCCATGCGGACTGATCCGTCGACCGCGGCAACTTATTCTCGCACCGTACCCCACCTCCCAAATTCCTATCCCCCCCCCCCCTCTCCTCATCCACACAACACCCTCCTCACCGTCCCCTCTATTGTAAATAACAATAATATACTTTTTGTCGTGTGAACGAAAGATAGTAAAGTATATCGATTGAACAGGTATTTTTTCAAATTTTTCTCGCTTCGACTGTACCGTAGATGTGTTGTCAGAATAATAAAACAATTTAAACTACAAAAAAAAATACATTTCATATTAATAATAATGTGCATCTAGACGATTTTATTGCAGGGAGGTATGTCTTTAAAATATTTTATTCATAGAAAAATTACAGTTTAAGGTGTAATACTTATCCTTACCGTGCGCGGAAATGGAATTACGATAAATAAATATATAATATAATACTGAGAGTAAGAATTGTAGTAAAAACCGTTCGCGTCTACATAATACATTTTCAATCGCATGCTTAATAATTTAAAACCCATAACTTAATACCCATTATAGAAGTATCGAAATGTGATCACATTCGCAATAAGCTTGGCCCTTCCGTATTCCATGTGTACAAAGTTAAGTTGGTCGGTAGCGGCATAGATAGTTAAGCTGGTTGGGCCGTGTCGCGCGCGATGGCGACTGGCGACTGGCGACTGGCGACAGGCGACAGGCGACAAGCGACGGCTGGAGACCGGAGACAATAACGCGGTGCGCGACAGTGCGTCCGCGCGCCTCCTCGCTCGTCCACCAACACATATTTTATTCTATCTATTTTTAATATTAATGTCAAATATTAACATAATTATTATACTACTATATATTATGCATATTTTACCTATGAATGTAATTATTTTCGCCTAATTCGAATTGTATAAAATCACCTCTTTGAACGGCTGTTCTGTTTCAGTAGCGAACAAGTTTCTCGATTACTTCCGTATAAGACTACGTTAGTTACGCGTATACATACTTTCTAATATTATGTATTATGATATAAAATTTTATCCTAAGGATAATATGATCGTATTTATGATTCATAGGGACGTTTGGAAAGATAGGTCGGAACATTTCACAATATCTCTCATCGCGTTAAGATAATAATTCGTTTCTATCTTGTACCTTTGAAAGTAGGTATTGTAATTATATAATTAATAATAAATAAATAACTTTTGTGCATTACGTAATAAATATTTCATTGTTTCTTACGATTGTATTTACCGTAATATAAGACCACTGTTGAAAAATTTCAAGCCTCCTCTTTATACGAGGAGCAACACCATACTTAGTCGTATTTTAAATTTTAATCAAAATATTAATACTAACAGTAAACTTACGTACAGGCAGTATAGTAGTTATCTACACGTCACAAACATTTCAATAAAATAAAGACAGGGATATAAAAATATATAGAAATGGCGCAGGTTCGAGGTAATAGTATAAAATATGAAGTCAATTCATTAATCATATTCGTTAGGTACTGGAGACATTTTATCGACCACTTTGTCTAGTTTGCAGCGAACACGGAATAGTATCGGTTAGTTGCGTATCACCGCCGTAGAGCGTGTTACGCACATCTACGCAGCGCTACACGGCGTAGACGTAGCGTAGCGGACATTACCGCGGCACCTACGCTAACACTACCGACGCTAACCGCTGGCAACCGCTATACACTTGCACTCGGTTGCATTCATTCGTTATTTACTATTATTATTACTCATTACCTACATCAATTAAACATTAATATTATAAATCTAGGTATTAAATTTTAGGTAATAATAATAAACAATCTTTTAAATGCTATTATTATATAAATACGTTATAAATATAAATGTTTCCTGTTACAAAAAAAAATATTGAAAATGATACGAAGTAAATCAATATTCTTTTTAAAGGTAATTTATTACTTATGAGTATGTAGTTAATTGAATAATGGAGTGTTAGATGGAGTGCGCTCGTCGCCGGGCGGCGCGCTCGCTTCGCGTTTTTTGTTCGTTCGTGCCGAATTCGTTCGCTGAAATGGTCAGGTGCGGCTGGCAACCCGCCGAGCGCCGAGCGCCGAGCGCCAACCGCCGAGCCGCACACGCCGCTGGAGATGCGACCGCGATTATGTTGTTAAAAACATTAGCTAGGAAATTGATAATGAAATCGAAAGGTGTGAAGTCAATAGGACGATCGGAATATCGATATCATACCTAACAAATTAACGTAATTATTTGTTTTATATTTACGGTGTTATAGGTATTTAAGACATTTTTTCTTAGAATATTTAATTATTACGATGAGATGTTATAATTGTTAGGTCCGGGCCGGCGGCGGAGCGGCGCGCGCGCACCTCGTCGCCGTCGGCCGTCTCATTCACTGTCACATCCTCACTATAATTATATTTTCTTACCGACCTTTTTAATGTAGGAAAAGCGCACACGGCCGCTTGTCCCCGTGCGAGTACGAGTACAAACAAACAGACATAGTGAGTGACGTTCGTTTCGCCGCGTTCGTGAGAAGCCATCGGTTCGCCGCGATTGCATCGAGACGATACATAACGACAATTATTGTATATACATAGATAACCGCATGTGTAAAAAGACGTTTAGGTAAGCGCCACACTGGCGCGTAACGCGCGACCGATTTTGCCGTCCGTCTGACACCGTCAATTATCGTGACGTATAACCGATCTAGAGGCACATGTATGCTAACTTTTTAATGACCTAGTTCTGTCCTTGGACATCGTGAATGTATTCTTGCATGTAAAAAAAAACAAGTAAATTGTGGTTTTTTTTTTCAAGAAGATTCTTAAAACATTTTAATTTTTTACGCGAAATTCAACAGAAAATAGTCTAAATTAAAAAACTACATGAAATAGCCGTAATCGTCAATAAATAAGAAACTTGTGAACAATAAGTATTTCAGACTAGGTCATTAAAAAGCATCGTGTAATCGGTCATTGTATGGCGCTACGCTTAGTCGATACCATCTGATCGATATTAGATTCATTCGAACTGCAATCAGGATTAGTTAGACGAAAGATTAGTTTCATTGTTGTTGTTATGGTTTGTTGATACGAGTTTGTGAGGTTATTTCGTTAGTATCACCCTTAGGGCACCTAGCACGGGCTATATTGTGAGGTTATCTCTCACGTAAAATCACACTCGCATTCAAATATACCATCTTATTTTTATATGTATATATGCATATAATACATTATTTAACTTCAAAATTATAGCAATAAATTTCAAATGTATACATAATTATATAAATTAGTTTTCATACTGTAGTATTGTTTTTTTATTAATAATTTGTATATATTGTATTTACCGCCAAGTAATATGTCCCGTGTTTTAGTAGCCACACCATCGCGAGGTGGTTTCCGCACGATTACCGCACAGTCGCCGACGCACAGTGCGGTCGTCGCGGTAACCACGTCGCCTCTCTCGCTTGATCGTATACGCGTTAGTTGATTTACTTCAGTCACCATATTAGAAATGTGTTCTATATCAGAATAAAGACTACGTAATGATAAGCGAGATCTCAAATTTATTTTAAAAATTCGTTAATTGTGATCCTAATAATGCGACTTATATATAATAAAAATATAAAAGATAATTTATTATATTTTGTATAATGACATTCTACGTTATTTTACACTCGATCTACTTTATATTGTTATTAAAGATAATAATTAATTTTAATCTAATAACGTGACAGACTGGTAAAGTTCGTAGTGTCGCTGTGGCGGCCATAGATCAGTAGCTTTGCATATTCGGCGATGGCCAACTTAATGTTTCAAGGACCAAAGGTATACTTATTCGCGTAGAACCGGACGCGCATTGGCTCCGCACGAACCGACCCCAGCCGATCGGTTGTTTTATTGCAGCATCAGAGCGTGTCTATGAGTAGAGCTATGAGAATTTATTACGGCGGGCTGTAGCGGGCGCGACTTCCTCGTCTGCTGCTCGGAGTGGTGCGGTCAGCCGGATGGCCGGCACGCACGCTCCGCCACGGTAGCGCACTCGTTGGTCGCGGACGGCGGAAGGCCGCGGCCGCTGGCGCTCGCAACCCCTCCCCCGCCCCCGGCACCCTGTCCCGCCCCGCGCAACGCCGCCCGCTTGGTTTCGTTCTCGCGGTTACTTCTCGATTGCGTGCTTCGCGTGCTGACTGATTTTCTATAGCAATAAAAAATCAATTACCTAAGATTTTACATTAAAATAAATTTGGATTTATATACGTTCGAATTTGGTGTCATGTACATTTAAAATATTAGAGAAAGGAGATAACGATAGGCGAACGGCCCGCGACCCTCCGTCGCGGTATCGGCGCATTATTTTCGTCATTTCTTCGTGTATAATATGTTACATGAATCTGTATACAATATGGATATAAATCGTAATGATGAATAAATTAGTTTTTACGGCATCTCTTTATTAAAGTAATGATAATATCAAAATGTTTTGTAAAAAGCGGTGGGTATGTCCGCCGCCCCGATTCCGTGCACCAGTGCACTTTCTTATTGGAATATTACATTATATAACGTACATAATACTATGAGATATATAATCATACAGCCTCTCGGGGCGCGCGTGTATGGCGATGTATGTATACACATTGTGCAATGTACATATACCTATTATAATACAATGATTTAAGACAAGGTTCACATCGTGCCGTGTGTATGTGGTAATAAATATAATATGGACATTGTTCAAACAATAACCAGTTGTTTTATTTATTTCATCCTGTTATGTTTCAAACCTTATTTAATAAAAAAATCACCTGAATACGGTGATGTATTGTATTGAATGTACGCAGATAACATAAATAAAAACATAATATTTCAGGCATCTCATGACTGGTACCATCATAAGATGCTTGAAATTGATGTCATTGTGGTTGATTCTCTGATAGCTAATTAATATTAGAAGACTAGCAGAAAAACACAACTAAGCAGTTTCTATGAGGATTACTTAGTAAGTATTCGTAAGTATAATTTACCTAAATTTAAAAGATGAAGCCAAATCGCTGGTATTCGATAAGAAAAATAATATTAAACTTATAAACTGTAGTACTCAGTCTTTGCTGTAAACAAAGAAATTGCTTTTCATTATTATTATCTTTTCATTGTTCACGATTAAATGAAAAACTGCCAAAATTATTGTCGCTGCTTATTTTAAATGTTTCTACATACATTCCTTAACAGACTGATGAAAGAAATTAAAAAGCTTGTAGTAAACGATCTGTCTGAATTGTTTACAAAAAGTGACAACAAATCTGATAAGTGGAAAACAACAAGTATAATGGGGTACTTAATAATAACATTAAAGAAACAATATTTTAATCATAATAGACAGAACTGTAGTAGTATTTAGCTGTGTACAAAAAATACAACAGGTACCAAGTACACGTACATTGCCAAACAAAGCATCAATGCCCTTTGTGCTCTGCTAATGCACAAGTTAGACGCAGAAAAATCTGTACCTTAGAATAGAAATTTAGCTTACGAACATGTGTTCCACTAGGCAATTTCATTCGTACAACCTGCTGGCCTTTATTTGAGGCCGCCTATTAGAAACTCGCCTTTACCTTTAATACAGAACCTCCTTATACGTTACGTGACTCTATTTAGAGAGGAACGGGAGCAATTTACCTCTTTTCGACCTAACTGGTCCAATCTGTTAAAGCATTATTATATCGTTGGCATGCGATTGGCAAAAACGTTCAATGGGTCTTAAGGAAATGTCGAATGAACGTATTTTTATAACGAATAGCACAAGTTACATAGCATAGTATTTAAACCAACTTACCATATACTAAAATATTGACAACTAGTAGTGCCCGTAGTTTCACCTACGTTAAATTTCAATAAAAAATATGTTATTCTGATGTATAAGCTATATTACTGTAAAGTTTCATCAAAATCCTTTCCATAGTTGTTGTTTATAATATTATTAAAATTATATTTATTATATCGTAGAATAAAGAAAAAGTATAGTCAAATTTATAACATTCTTCTATTAGATTTAGAAAAGAACTCTAAATTACATTAGAGTGAACAAGTTTATCTTATCTAATATGTGAGATCACATAAAACCATGTATATGTATCTACTTTTTATATTTTTTTACAACTTTAAAATATCTTGTAACATATATGTTACTCGATGCTACCCGTTACCATTCTGGAAAACTAAGATTTTATGCATGTAATGTTATATCATCCTTAAATTGAAAAACAAGCTTACAAATCCAGCTGCTTGGCCGCTGAAATAGATGATACCTTCATAGACGACTTTTTACAAAGTCTAACTCGGTCACCTGCCTATTTATGTAAATAACAAATATTAGATTTCCTCACCGCTTACTTAAAAATATCCGTATAACAGAAATAATAGAATTATACAAATTGAAAATTAATAGCACCTTACGAATTTAGTAATACCTACTCTGCTTTAAAAGATAAAAAATATTATTAAAAAGTTTACGGCTGCAACTAGACGTCGGTCGGTCGTAAATATCCTTTATTGTTACTCGTAGTTTTATATTGGAGGGAGCTGAGTAGCTGAACGACACTGGCATATCTTGATCTATAGAAATATATTAATAGTGTGCCTGTGACATCTTCCGGGTCGTCCGTGTGATCGCGACACATTGGTAGTCCAGAATAAAAAGTAAGCTATAATATATTTAAGCTATCTATGTCACAAATATACATACGACTATATAGCGTATTCTAAATTACATATTATAATGTGGTAGTAATTACTACACCTCAGAAGAGGTAGTAAGAGGCATTGTCAACTTTTGAAGTCGTGGTGTACTCCATAATTCGCGGGGTATACCTATTTTGAATTTAACTTTTTAAAGAGCGAGCCGACCGCTTTTCTAGTAGGATTAATTTTGCTTGTTATTGGTGTTTGCATCACTGGAGAGTTAGTCAGAAACATAATTAACGTAATTTTTTTGTGGCGGTCAGATTAGAACTAACGCGAATGTAAATATTGATTGGTAACGCTTAGCTTGTCATGTCGAAATAACTACGATAGTTACCAAAAAGGACTTTAAATTGAGATCAACCTGTTGGAGCACATTGCTGTAAAAAAAAGCCAGTATCCCTTTTAATAACAATGTCAACAATGTCAACCGCAGCGCGATTATACCTGTTCACTTGACCGCTGTTGTGTATACAAAAATAAAATCAGAAAAGATATTTATTAATTTAACGGTAAAAGTCACTTATGATTACATTTATTTAAAAACTAAATTAAATCAAACAGACCACTAGAAGTAGTAACAGAATACAAATATTAATATCATAATAATAATTTATGTAAAGTGAGTGAACCAACGACCGTCGAAAGGTAGAGAATTAGAGGTACGTAACATTATAAATGAGAAAGTGTGTCTGTCTTTCAACACAATGTAATTTGACATGAAAATACATTGTATCACTATGACGTATATAGACAATCTTTTATCTTAAATATACCAGGAAAAGGATTGAAATAGGGGCTGAAAGTTTGTTCAGTCGGTAAACAGTAACATTATAAAGGCAAAGGTGTATCTGCCTATTTGTTTTTCACTTTTTCACTAATTAACAACTGAAAGGTTCTTATTTTAAATCATGTGAAGATACGTATATTACTAAAACGGATACAGGCTTCTTATGTAAAGAAAAATAGACGAAATGACAGCCATTACCTAGCTTCAAATTAAGATATAAGTATTCCAGTAAGGACAGTTATAAAGTAATTTACATATTTCAAATTACTTTTAGAATAAAATTTAGAAACAGTTGAGTACGTACGACTGGGTACTTAATTATGCTATTATCCCCTAGTTTCAGAACATTCGCAATTGTTATATTATTACTGCTATGCATAAATGTATGATATCGCACGCTTCTATGCATACATACCATCAGTTTGAGTTTGGAATGAGCATACGAATCAAATCTGACGTTTTCGTATCCATTACATTGTGGACTTCTGCATAATAATTGTCTGGCACAAAATATGATAGTAGCTTAATTTCACGACCTCTGTGGTTTAGCACACCACCATATTTACGATGGTCGCAAGTTCAATTTCTCGCACGGTACAAATATTTGTGGTCATGAGTGATGATGATATGATAATGATCATGATTATTTGTATCGGTCTGGGTGTTTTCTATACATATGTATGTATTTACAAAAAAATGTATTTATATCAGTTGTCTAGTAACCCATAACACAAGCTCTGCTTAGATTGGGACAATGTGTGTGAATTGTCCTGAAATATTATTATTATTATTAAATGAAAATAATATAACTCTACATCTATACTATATATTAAATACATATAGAGCGCGAGCGTGATTTTGTTATGTAAAGTAAAATCTGGAA